GTTAAATAAATAAAAGTAATAAATAGATTAAGAGTTGTGTAAAGGCAATTCGAATTCTGTTAGGGTTTCATTTAACAAATAGTGCCGAGCGTTTTATTTGTACGGAATATAAAATAGCAAAAAATACCCGTAAAATGAATGACTTTTAAAATGGAACAAATTTTGACCACCTAAAATGTACTGGGAGGTTCCAGAACAGCTAAATTTCCAAAACTGTAACACAAGGTTCAAATACGTATTATTTTAAAGATTATGGACTAAGAAACATGTCTCTGGGTCCTTTTGGGACCCGAAAAAAGGATTTTCAGGGTTTAAAATGCTTTGTTTTTACTTTTACGAATACGAAGGGTAGAGAAAGTTATGTAATACTGCGCAAAACCGATTTCGATATTTCAAAGGAAATACACGGTTTTGAAGTCCCCTAATACCGAAAAAAATGTTTTATTCAAAATGTCAGTCTGTCTGTCCATCCAACTGTAAACACTACTAGCGCCTAAAACATACGAAGGATTTTTTTCCAAATTTGAAAATCCCGAATTGATCTGGCTCGAGTCAAAACTTTGAGATTTTGAAAAAAATCTTTACAATTTGGGAGTACTTTACATGAAGCCTCTCGGACATTTTCAACATTTTCTCAGAAATGGCTTCAAATGTATCTTTACATTTATTGTAAGAATAAAGTAAAATACTCTCATAAAGATAGTTTAGACCCGGGTTTTGAGGTTTAACATTGAATTTTGGAAAATTTCAAAATTTTTCGGTCATTATTTTATCTTTGGTCGTTATCGTTATCGTTATCTCTCCAGGGATTTGTAAACACTATTGAATTTTTGACTAGATGTTCTTGAAATTACTTCATATGACTTTTCGAAAACTTAATAGTTTTCGGTGAAAATAGATTCAAATGTTGCATTCACTGTAACGCTTAAACATTATTTTCTAAAAATCAGCTCCAAAATTTTCAATGAAAAGTTTCATTTAGGAAAAGGTTTTGCTCTTCTTTAATATTTTAAACTAATAATTTGATTCTACTATTAGGAAACCGAAACATTAAGAAGGTTTAAAAAAAATGTAGTTTGTGCGGCGATATATGGCAGCTTGCAAGAGAATGTGAAAAGCCCATAATGGTAACGTGTGTGGAAGCATAGTGTGTCATGCGATTTGCGTTTTCGCCTGCTTATTTATTCGCAGTGTGATCTATTAAATTCTATATATTTGTCTAAAAAGGTTAGATGCAAACTTCGGGACAATTCCCTATTCAACAATGGTACATTTACGAGCTCTTTTGATGGGGAATCTTTGCTGGTTGTCTGGCAGATTTTTTTATCATTTACAGAATGGATACAACTTGGAAAAGACATCACAGATTCTCGCCAATTAATACCCCCAATTAATAAATCACGGACATTTTTCTTCAGCATATAAAATGGCCCACTTACAAGTATACCAGTTTCCCTCTTAATGCAGTCATAATGTATCTTGCACAGGAATTTCCTCCTCTTCTATGTGTCATAAGTCGAAGTGGTTTTACTCTCAAGCACCTTTGACAACGGCATTATATAAGATGATTCCCGCCTGCGGAAACACCCTCAACCTGAAATAATTCAGTTCATTTATTAAAGGAGAGTATCAGCTCCCAATATCCCTGTGTATTGACTTTGGATAACGCTAATCCTTGGAATAGCCGTAAAAAGCTCATTCATGATAGTTACCAGGAACACTCTGGGCTTTTAACGATGTTAACGGTGCGTACATTGTATTGAGTGTTTTACAATCATGATGATATTGGTATTGATCGTCTGGTGACCAGTGCTGCGTCAGATGGAAGGTTACATCTCAATATTCAGGAAAGGTCACCATGTTCAGGTCAAATGTTTCTGTCCATACTTCGTGGGTATTTTTATTCATCTTAGTGAAAATCTGGAGCTGAAAATGACATGCCCTGATTTAACTTTTTCCCCTTGCATTACATGCAATATTTCACAGTTTTTACGAAATAAAAAAATCAAATCAAAATTTTAAAAAAATTGTGGAATTCAAAACAGGAGAGGAGGTCTATATCAAAAAAACTGACAGGCTACAAGTCGAAAACAGAAAAAAATCAAGATTATCTTAGGTGACGAAAAAATAACTTAAATTTTCATTTCCCATTTATAAAGTCCCATCTGTAAGACAAAAATCTACGCCACCAGATGTGTCTTATACCGGGATTTGACTGTAACTATAAGCGAATAACTAATGTAATCTCATAACTCGAATTTCTCGATTACTCAATTTTTCATTCTCTTTCACCTTCGTTTTAATCAGTTTTAGAATTCGCAGCGTGAGTATTCGATTAGTCGAATATAGTTCCCTTGAGATTCGAGGTATGGGGATTTTGCTGCGAAAGGATGTAATTGTCAGTCGCCAGAGGGCACGTGTGTGCGGTGTGGCAGGTGTGCACGCGCACGAGGGCCATCCTGCAGATGATGAGCGGCTGCCAGCGCCTGCTGGAGCTGGAGTTCCCCATCCGACGCGACGACGGCTCCTATCAGATCATCAAGGCTTACAGGGCGCACTCCGGAACGCACCGCATGCCTGCCAAAGGCGGTGAGCCCCATCGCGCTGGCGCTTCAGCTGCAACAAGGATACGAACTACACTTTCTCCCTTGTGATTAATTGATTAGTGATTGTGGGCGAATCAGCAGCTTAGGTCATTAATCTCATAAGTGTAGTGCATGGCGGTGATATTCCCCCGCTAGATGGTGAGATCCGGTGCCGACATACCCAACGGCTACGGAGTTTTCTAGACATCCTCCAACAGAGGGATAATACCACAGCGTTATGCGCCCAACGAGACCAGTCGATCTCCCGACATTATACTAAAGTGGATGTGTGTGGGTGTAAGAGGAGAGAACAAAACTAGAAAGGGAAAGGAAAGATCACTCACTGTCGGTGGCCCGTTTGTTAAGTCACTGTTCTATCATTGATCTGAAAACATACCATCAGAGCAGCCTACCGCTAGAATTCTCCAGTCAGGGAATGAATTTGACCTAGCTATATGTAGTTAGAGTCGAAAATCCGCCATCGGAACTTGAATCTGAGGACATTCCGGCTTGATTCGCTGCAAAGCCAGCGGCAATGCACCCTGAGCTTATCTCAGCCGGCGTTTATCCGGAAATTGAACTGAAAATTGAAATATTTTAAGTGTTTTTTATTACGAAATTTTTATAATCGTTACCTCAAAGGATATTACAGTGATTCCCTTGGCGGATGAAACTGAAAATTCTGAATAGGAGTACCCAGAGGAGCGGAATCCCTTAAAATATAATAGGTCCCCGACTGAATTGAAAATAATTGATTTTCTATTCCTAACTGCCTACCTTTGTGGCCATCCGTGCTTTGGGGCATTACGAGCAAAGAAGGGACATTACGAGAACCTAACAGTACGTGCAAAGAAGTCTCATTTGGTAGATTGCGGCATAAAAATGCCTGTAAATGAATCAAATTCCTTTTGATTGACGCAGGACAAGTGTGTTGCATTGTTTGATGCGGACTGCTTGTACGCCTGATTACCAAACTACACTAATAAAAGTGAATTCAACGACATTAACCCACATTGATACCACAAAACGTAGTTTATGAATAGATACGAAATTTTTGCTGGCTGTAAGTAGCACAAATGAGGAAAATACGAAATTTAAATAATGGCTTGGTAGATGCATCAAGATCATTATTTTTTGCCTGTCGCTAAGATAAAATTAGTTCCTAACATATTCCGCTAGAGGGAAGTTGCGTTGTGGCAGAACTGGTACTTAGGGCCAGTAGCAGTGCTTAGATATTTTTTAAATCTTATAGCAATGTGCTATAAAATAAAATGAAAGAAAATTACAGTATTTTACTAAAATTTGAAACAATTACATTCAAAATTATAATCTTAAATCCAGTTGCTTACATTTTATTTTGACCATTTCACAAGTATTGAATGTGAAGAGAGCCCGGACAACGCGGTATATTTTGCCAATATTTCACAATCTGCAAACTTCTACGTTTTTCATCTTACATTTTTTGATGCAGGGCCGGGAGTATTTCCTATCCAGAAGAACGACAAGTTTTTGGGCCAATGGTTTCTTGAAAACGCCAAAAACATAGCATTTTTATGGTATTGTAAATATAGGGGATAGAAAAGACAAGAATTATTCAGTGGAATTATATGAATTCAATATGCTGGGTGATAATGACGGAATATTATGCAATCTAACGACCTACCCCTTTTGATGGGCAGAATGAAGATTAAGTGAAGTGGAGTCAACTTAAAATAATGGAAAAATTCATTATTTGTAAACAAGATTATATTGAAATTTTAATGAAAAGGCAGTTTTTTTGTATAAAAGACACGGCATTAAATCTCGCTGGTAGATTTTTCCTGTACAAAGCAACTACATGCAAAACGAACCACGTTGGACAGTCATAGGTTTAAGAAGGTATTTGTAACAATTATGTACATAACTACGAATGAAATTGAATTTTATGTAGGTGTACGAATGAAATATTTGGAAATAACTGTGTGAAAGGTACTTTTGCGGCATATGTTACACTTTACCACGAATTCATGGATCTTGGATCTTTCTCAACACGTGAATCGGCTGTTTTTGGCAAGGTAGCCACTGCAACTTGGCAAAGATTAAATAGTATACGGAAGAATTAGTTTCCATGCATGAATGCTGAAAAGGATACATTGTTAGATACATTACTTGGATATTGTGTACGGTTCCTGTCATTTGGAAGGGGGACGCGAACCCGCGCGCGTCGAGAGAGCTTTGGACCAGGCGCATCTGGTGAGCGCCCCCTATCGTATCTTTTATCGCACTTGGGATTTGACTGTCACTTCCCCCAACAGATGTTTGCCTCAGCCAACGTCCGGGCTGTCTGGTCGGATCTCGTTACGATGAAATATTAAAGGAGGGATTTCATTTTGTTGGACACCCGCCGGTGTTAGTACGTAAATGAAGCGTGGTGACTAAAATGGATGAAGGAGAAGGTTCAGTTTATAGTAATCGAAGTAATTCGGTCTTTTAAATATAGCTTTTAATAGAAACCTTGCTATGACCATTTGTAAAAATTGAAAAAAAATTCACTAAACATTTATTTTTTTATTAAAAAGTAAATTAGACATGTTTGCATACTTTTGATACAGATATTTGAGATACGATTTGCAATTTTTTCTTGAAATCTCATTACTTACCATACTTACGAATTCCAAACACTCTCTCAGGTTGGTTAGTTCGTTGCTTACTTTATTGATTTATTTCCGAGCCCATCAACTACTATGATCCGGTAAAGTAGTGTCTTAAAGTCTGGGAGATGACGGTGATCCTCCACTGCTCGAACATCAGATTCGGCGTCGACATACACGTCTTTGGGGTTTCCCACTTCCAGGTATCCCCGCCAGTGAGGCCCCGCTCCAGACGGAACAACTAAGCTCGCGACTGATCATCTGGTTGTGTAATGTATGCGTGTGTGTGTAAGGAAAGAGATCTTAATCACAAAGATGAGGAAGAAAATATTGCATGTAATCCGGTATCTGACAGGGTACGACATTCGCCTACTATTGCTTGCAGAAATCTTAGAAATCTAGCGTTGGGCCAGCCAGTTGTTAGAATTATATCCCAATGAGTGTCTTAATTGGTCCTCGTTATCAAGCCAGTCTCGAAAATCAGCCACTGTTGTGAATCGATCACAATCTGGACCTTCCGGTCCAGATCGATGGAACGGCGCCGGTTGTGGCCCTGAGCCCACTCAGCAGGTCCCCGCCGCGGATGCCTGGCGCCGCGCAACGCCGTGTGACTTGTTGTGCGAGCGCAGGCATCCGCTACGACCTGGCCGTGAACCGCGACGAGGTGATGGCGCTGTCCATGCTCATGTGCTACAAGTGCGCGTGCGTGCGCGTGCCCTACGGCGGCGGCAAGGGCGGCATCTGCATCGACCCCAAGGCCTACAGCTTGCAGGAGCTGGAGCGCATCACGCGCCGATACGCCCTCGAAATCGCGCAGAGGGGCTTCCTGGGTGAGATGCCACCTCTGTTGCGCAGCGCAAGCAGGGGATTATGAAATAGTTTTATCGCGCTGGGAAGTAACGGTGTAAGTCGAAAGAATTTAAAAATCTGATTTTTTTCCCTTTATTTTTTGTCGCATCAACGACTAAGGTTATCTGATTTTTGTTCTTATGTGCTTTTAAAAATTAAGCTGTACGTGCATCTGTAATTAATACACATAATTCCAATTTCTGCCATATGAGTTTCAACACAACAACGTAGGGAAAAATAAGAACCGAATGAGAATTCTAAGCTTTAATGGTCTCTCCTGAAAAATTGGTTGTTTTCGAGCGATACTTTTACTACCCGGCACAATAAATATATAAAAATATTTTATAAAGACATCTTTCTTCTATGTAAAGATGTCCAAGAAAAGTAGTCGACGAGAAAAATCTAGGGACTTTCTGCTTTTTCGGTAAAAGCATAAAAATACGAAAACTTTACAAAGTTTACCCTAGTATCTGAAAAATATTTTTTCAAAAGTTTATGATATCAGTATAAAAATTATGTGTTCCTGGAGAATACAAGTCTTGGCGCCACAAAATTAGGAGAGAAAACGATAAATAAGACATTATTTCGACCAGGAACGGAGTAAATGTGAATATTCTCCAAAAGTCATCAGTCCCCTAAACTACATTCAATGAATTGCACTACGTTGTCGACTGCATGTGGAGTCGTTGATGTGCAGGGCCCGGTGTTGACGTGCCGGCTCCCGACGTCAACACCAGCGCCCGCGAGATGGCCTGGATAGCCGACACCTACAGCAAGAGCTACGGTGAGTTGCCGCTCCTCGACAGTACCCGTCAAACTTTTAATAACTTGCGTTGATTTATTTTCCTTTAACAATACGTATTTCGTGCACAAACTGTTCAATTCCAATTCTGGGGTCAGAATTTTGATAAATTAAATGTGTAGGAAATGCTTTTTAAAATGTCTGTAAAAACCTAAATTGTAAAATAAACTGAAAATCTTTTGAAAACCATTCGACAGTTCCCAATATACGTTTTCTGTGAGGGAATCATCACGGTCGAATGACACCAGGAAGCATTAAACTTAGTTCATTTGAAAGTTTTAAAGACTGTATCGTAGGTAACACTATGTATTGCAATTATTTTAATTGCTACGTGCCTACTGAAAATGGAAGCTTGAATTAATATCCTGAAGTACGAATAGTTGGGATATACGTCAATGAATTTGAGATTTAATAAGATCATGTTGCACCTGACTCTTAATGTGTAATTAAATTTATTGTTGTGATTTACTATTTTAATTCAACAAAGTTTCATTTCAATCCCGTTGTCCCTCACCGTGATCATTACTTGCAACATTATTATTATAATTCTTCATGAAATGCCGTTTTCACCTTCGATGTTCAAGAGCAGTGTTTGCTTTCCCGGGATAGCTCTCTAAAGCAACCGTGTCAACATGTTCGCTTGTTGTTCGGGCAACGTAGTTCATGCTTTCCATAAACTTAACATATTTTACTTACATGCTTTATGGTTTGCAAGCTCATTATTGTATGTTTATGAATCTGAGACAAAACACAAATCGGCGTATTTAATACTTTTGCGGACTTTTCGATTGCTTCATGACCATGCGAGTCTTTGAATACTTTATGCCCGCTCCGCTAACAACACAACAAATGATACATATGGATTCGTTTGATTTAAGTTAGGAAACCAGAAAAATACAATAAAAAAATTATATAATGCAGAAATAAGAAAAAATAACTCGTTCTAATCATTATTTTGTTGAAATTATATGAAAATTGCAGTGATGGGATGTTATTATGAATTTATCATTCTTATCAGACGTTACTGTTTTGCAGGAATAAGTTCTACCTGTTTTTAGGGACACATGTATTTACTACTAGTATTAATAGATGTAGAAGGCACAGGTTGATACCCACAAAATGTTATTTTTTCATGCAATGAAATTTCCTAAATACTTTTCGACAATGGAAGCAAATAACCTAAAATACCGTTTCACCAAAACACAGCACACTGTAATTTTTCATCCAACTCTCAGATACACAAAAATCAATTTCATGTAAATTTCTCAAGAATATAACGAGAACAGGAAACTACAGCCCGTAGCTTTGTTAGCTTTTCCCACATTTTCCGCAGAAAGTGCACAATTTTCTTTCATTTTGTCCGATTAAGTCAGTTCGACAACGATTATGCAATAGTAAATAAATACGTACTTTGTTTTGTTTTTCTGGGGAAATATTGACGCCTAACGGACGATCACTTTTCACTTTTGATGCAAGGCAAATTTTAAAATGTTCCTAATTTTCGTTTGGGTGCGCAATGCATTTCTAACCGATAAGGTTTTATATTAGTTCCAGATGCCCGAGGGATTGGAAGTCGCCCTCGGGGCAAAAGCAACTACTTAACGCCCTTCATACATAAATAACTTTTAGAACAGCTCTCAGCATGAATCCGATGCCATCCAGCTAATGTATCTGGTCACTCATCCAATTTCAGGCTATTAAGAGCTGAAAATCAGCGTGAGCGCAGAAAAGGCTTGGATGGTGTGAGAAGTCGGCGGGTGTGTTGAATAGGGAATGGTCCATTGCATCAGTTTTTACTCACACTCGAACCCAAATTCATTCCCTTTCTGTTTTGGCTATCTGAGAAGGCATACCGCTCTAATTGCGTACCGGTCGGTGTATTGTGAGAGAAAGCTGAAAACAATTTAATTCAATGCCCATTGAAAGCAACGCAAAGAATAGTCTTGCAGAAAATCTCAAACAAAGATGAACATGACAGAATCATCGAAACTGTGTTCTTTATCTAACGAAATTATTTTCATTCTGTTCATTTTTAGGGCATTCAATCTCTTTAAAACAGCTATTATTAGTATTCATAGGAATCAATTTAAATAAATTAATTCTATTAAATGCAGTTTATTTATGAAATAACCAGCTTTCTTTACTCTTACTGTGTGACCAGTACAATACAAGACTAAACAAAGTGAACAACGTTAAATGAAGCGTTTGTGCAAAAAACGATCTTGGAAGCACTGAAAGCTGGCCAAGATCTTCCTTGCATTTAGAAAAGAAAAGAAAAAAAAAACAAAAAAAAACGAGCGGGATGCAATCCGGAAATGTCTTTTTGGGGAGGCAGGTAAAAGGCTTAAGAAACGTTAACGGTGGGATGTATTGGGAATTGTCTTTTTGTAGTGGGAGGTAAAAGGTTTAAGAAACGTTAACGGTGAGGTGAGTAGGTATATACCTTTTTGCGGTGTAGGTAAATGTTTAGGAAAAGTTTACGGCGGATTGCAAACGGGATATACCTTTTGGTGGTGGCAGGTAAAAGGCTTGGAAAATGCTAACGGCGAGATGTAATAGGGATATGCCGTTTTGTGGAGGCAGGTGAGAGGCCTAGGAGACGTTAATGCGGGTACGCAACGGGGATGTTACCGCTGCTCAGGGCACCTGGATCTGAACGCGGCGGGCTGCGTCACCGGGAAGCCGCTCATTCGCGGAGGCATCCTCGGCCGCGAGCAGGCCACGGGCCGCGGCGTGTATTTCGCCATCGACAACTTCATCAACGAGGAGGCGTGGATGCAAGAGATCGGCCTCAAGACGGGATGGAAGGGCAAGTCCGTCATGGTGCAGGTGTGAAGCCAAATGCTATGTAGAAAATACAGAACACTTTGCACCTTTCTCATACTTTTAATGGGAGGCAACTGCTCACTAGCTCACCTGGTGACGTGACCTGGAAAATAGGCGACTAATTCAAATTTCAATACATGCACAATAACTTTTGAATCACTACGCGAAACGTAAGTATACATAATCGTAAGTAAACTAAAAATCTTTCAAACTTGTTCACTTCCTACTTGATATCACATTGGTTATGAGATGTGGAGTCACTAGGGTGCTAGCTTTTAGTGTCTCCCGTTATATCGCCGAGCGTCCTGTACTGTCTCAATAGAATCTGGTGAAGGGCAGTACGCCCAACGTCGTTTGGTTTTCGAGTTACTTTTCAAAGGGATGCACAGGTAATGTCATTAACAAGGAGCATCTGACGCAAGAGATTGACCTGACGCCAGATTTGAAAGGTACATGCGTGTGCAGGCATATGGTTTACGTGCGCTCGGCAGTCTACTCAAAGTAGGCTGCTTTAGTAAGAATAAGGGCAGACTAGAAGGGAAAATAGTCGTGCAGGCGGTCAGTGCAGACCTGTCACTTCTATATTCAGAATTTATTCCCACAGACGCGCCGTTAAGAATCAATTAATGCAGTTCCAGAACCCTGCGCGTCAAATAACCAATGTACGGGAGAAAATACATTAATGGAAGGGAATCGCCACTTTTTTCCCAGAGGCGACCGGATATAATTAATAGAAGAATCAGTTCTCACCATTTTCTGTCATATATAATTGACAATGTGAAATTATATCCTCTAATTAAGTGAGCATTGGAAAAGTGACGTGAGTGTTGAGCTGGAACTCGTTGACAATTAAGCGGATGAGTGTTGTGTGCTTATTGGTGTCGTGCTAAGAGTCGAGCGCTAAGCGTGCAGTGGTGGTTCAGTGAGGAGTTAAGTGTTGAGAGCTCTGAGTCAAGTGGAGAATGTTGGCTTCAGGGCTTCGGAAACGTGGGCCAGTGGGCTGCGCAGTTCGCGGTCGAGGCGGGCGCAAAGCTGGTTGCCGTCCAGGAGTTCGATGGGGGCATTTTCAAAGCCGAAGGCATCGATATCAAGGTATATGTGATTACTGAATACTATTTTTAAGGTATATGCTAATCGGTAAATGCTAGCCTCCAACATACTGAGTAAAATTGATATTATTGGCTTGTGTGAAAGACGGGGAGAAGATTTCTATATTCCAAATAGATTCACTAACATAACAAATGTCAATGATAATTCTCTTGCACGAATGATTGATTAGTGATTCCTGGCGTGTCAACGGACAAGATCAATATTCCAGTAAGTGTAGTGCATGTTTTCACTGCGGGAGATGGCGGTCATCTTCTCCTGCTGGCTGGCAAGTTTTGGCATCCCACCCATGTCAGCTTGTGGGGATTTTCCCTACACATTTTCTCGTCTGATCTCCCCACAGTTATGATAGCGTAATGCGTGTAAGTGTGTGTAAGTAAGGGGTGAAGATAGGCCAAGGGGGAAGAAGAAAACGCATGGCTCAAGGCCCGTTTATTAGGATTCTGTTCCTGCATTCACCTGTGCTGCTGATCGGTGAAACCACGGAAACCAATCGATGAGAGCAGCCGGCCTCTAGAATTCGCCTCCAAATAGCGCCTGAAATCGATCTAACTTGTGTCGAAAATGCTGCCACCGTCGGGACTCAAACCCAGAATCTCCCAGTCAGAGTCTTTCCAGTGACATCATTTGATGTCCTGAGCCACTCCGCTTTTGCCGGTTCACTTATACGAAATGCCAATGCTTTCTCCTACGCAAGGAAAAATGTTAATTACCATTATTGAAATCAAATGCCTCATTTATTGTAAGGCGCGAAAGTTCGAAGTACGAAAAATTGCCGTCTCAAGAATCTCAATGTAACCCGGGTCTCTCGAAAAGGCGTTAACGACAAAGTTTGGTGATAATGATATGATGTAGTGAGTAACAAGAATGTACAAGGAGGAAAATGGAATGAGAGAATAGGAAAACGAAATAACGTCGAGAAAACTTGCAACTAACCTGATTTGTTCACGGACCATTTTACAGGGATCGACTAGGATTTTAATTCATGTACCTGGATCGTACAAGAAGGGAATAGGAGCTCTAGAGTCACAACTCAGGGCATCGCCCCGCTACGATTATAGCTCTGGTACATGAATATAACAGTCTGAATTGAATTTGCCTTATTTTACGTGGCGAGACTCGGGCCATCAGGCCCGCTCTTCCGTCTGTCCACGCAAATTTCGCTACGCTCCTTTCAACAACTAGCAGAGAAAGGAGGTATTTCTTAGGCGAGAAACAGGCGATTTGAATTTAGCTCAGAGGCGTCATTTAGGCTTGAGGATCTTTTACATGCAAGTAAATCTACTAACATGGGACAGCCGGCTTTACTTCCCCTCCGAAGGAAGGCGTACGAAGGATTTTGTCGCCCTAAAAATCCACGGCTTCAATCGGGTTTGAACCCGCGAGCTTGGGTATAACAGTCCGGTACGCTAACCGTCACACCATTGCCGCCGCTGAGCCGCCGCCACAGCATTGAAACAATGCAATGCCACAGCAATGAAAATAAAATATACTTGGTAGGTGTACTTCATAGACGAACTCTTATGTCCGGATCAAGTAGGCGCTGCACGTATGGATGATGTTCAAAGGCCCTGAAAGAGCACCACTTCAAGTCGCGTACCGTGAAGGGCTTCTCGAGCGGCCAGGACGTGAACGCAGACGACATCCTAGCCACCCCGTGCGACATCCTCATCCTGGCGGCCTTCGAAAAGCTCGTGCACATCGGCAACGCGGACAAGATCCAGGCCAAGGTGCGGGCTATGTTCGGAGGATTTCCTGTTACACTATGATGCTGTCTCCTTCAAGTACTACGAAATGTGACTTGTGTTTGGTGACGTGTACAATTCTTCCGAATTTTAAAAACAGATACACAGTCTATTTTTAACAAAAAACGAGTTGCCTATCGAAAACAACCAGTATATTAATTAGTATGAATTGAGTACAGCAAATATAAGGTTGTATAAGGTTATTAAACACTATTCCAATAATTCATTTTTGAATGGCATATATATTATTCATCAGTTTTCCAATCAACGACATCAATAACGAGTGGTTTTGGTGATGTATGAGATTGTGCTGATTAGCTACAAACCCTTACACGGTATAGTTTTCGTGCAGATTCTCATAGAGAAACAGTGCAGAAACTTTAAGATCCCAAATTAAAAATATAAAAGCCAAAAGTCAAGTTTAAACGGTCTGTAAGTTTTTTGTACGATTTGTCACAAGAAGCCTCCAGAAGCTCTTCTGACACAAAATAATTCCTGAATTGAGTCGTCTGAGTACATACAAACCCGACATTTGTGTACGTGCGTACTTTTTTAAATATTAGTGAATCAGTGGGAGAAAAAACCCAATGGAGGAAGTCTTGGCTGCAGTGGTGAGATTTTTTAACATTATATGTACAAGATTCGTTGCTCCCCAGAAAAGCGGAGAATCCGCCACGCTAATACAATTCTCACAAATTGCTCCTAACTAAAACACAAAATTGGAATTGCGATTTCCGCCGTAAAAGTAGGCGTTAGTGAACGAGTTTGCTGCTAGAAGCTCTGGAGTCAAGCTAAATGTTTTCTGTACGAAAAAAAATCGCACATGCTCAAACATTTTCATGTAAAAATCGTGCAGTCCATGATGGAAAGACATGAGTGAGCTACGGCGTATCCTATCCGACTTTAGCCAATGAGGATCAGCCACCAGTCTGCGTCACAATATTAGCTGGAATTTTAAATGCTGCCAGATACCAAAATTATCATTATCAAAACCAAAAACAAGTATATGAGAAGCATTTTTTAAAAAATATTAATTAACTTTTAAAAATTAAAAAACTTTTATTTTAATTTCACCTTAATCCAGTTATTTTTGGTTGGCCACTGTCGAAAACTGTTACTTTATGCCACTTTCAAAATGTTCCTCAACACTTCTTGCTCTTCGTGCGTCATGGTGGCCAGCGACTGGTCTGGCTTTTCACACGAAGTTCCCGTGCTGTGGTCACGTGGTTCGGGACGTAAACTGGTGCTGCGCAGAACGAGCAAAAATCGGTGCGTCGCACTAACTCCCGTGTATCTTCCATCATGGTAGAGTGCGGACTGCACACGTTCTGTACGTCTCGAAAACTGTACCGAGTACAAGGGCGTAATAAGGCGTTCCGTTGCACGCTGCGGCGGCGGCGGCGCCTCGCCTCGCCTCGCAGATCGTGGCGGAGGGCGCCAACGGCCCCGTGACGCCCGGCGCGCACAAGAAGCTGCTGAGAAGAAAGTGCTGGTGCTGCGGACTGTGTTCTGCAGCGCCGGAGCCGTCACGTTTCCTACTTTCGAGTGGCTCAAGAACCTCAGCCACGCTCTTCCTTCGCGACGCATGTTCTTCAAGTGGGACACTGACAAACTACCTCACATTCTCAGTGAGACACACTTCGAATACTATTTCCTTTACGCAACGCCAACCTGTCATAACCTTCTTCTGTGTTTAACGGTCAATGTGCTTTGAGACACAAAAGTCCTAAAATGGTTTGTTTGGATGAGCTGGTGTCAGAGTCAACAATTAAGTTGCCAGATATATACATAACTAGATATATTATATTAATATTATAATAATAAAGTATATAATAATAATAAATATAATATAAATTATATAACATAAGCGATGGTTTTATTTCTTGATGACCTATTATAATATCGGTGTACATCCACATAGATTAGAATTGTATAATGAAGAATTTTTGAAGAAAGATAGACAATTTGTACTCTTTATATAAAATTATAATAGAAATATTAGAAAATGTAGGTGTCTTCTGCTTTTAAAAAGAAATGTACTCAAAGACTTAAAAAAAATGTAATGAACTCTAAATTTTCTGCTAAAGACCTTCCTTTCACAACTAATTGTTCGACACATTCACAATCTCACTAGAGAGACATCAGCAAATACTTTAGTACTGTAAAATCATTACTTTCGGGCAAAAAGTTTATATCTTTGTTTTCAACATTCATCACAATTGTTTTGTAATTCTGCAATAGTATAATGTACATCGTGCAATCTTACGTTTGAAGGGCTAAATGACGATGCAATGTTATTCAATAGACTCATTATTATCACGAAAAAACGGAATCTACAACGTAAAGAAAGTTACAAATACCCCAGTCCAATTAGATATTTCAATAATAAAATCAGTGACTTTTCCCCCTAAAATATTGATATAACCATTACTGGAAAAGATACAAATATTTTTTGGTCTCCAAAATATTTTATTACGAAATTTGAAAACTTTCCTGATAAAGAATTGATATTATATATTTTATAATTTATATACTTGAATATCCCATGGCGTCAACACCAACGTAGCTAAACAATGTATGGTTTGAGCATAACTAATTTTTTATTTTATGCAATTTTTTTCAAATCTCCCCCCAACCAATTAAACTTAAATTTGTGGAATTGCACACAGACAACTTAGACTTAACAATCAATTATAAATCGTATTTGAACATTATTATTAAATAGAGTTGAAACTCATGTAAAATAAAAATATCGTTTACTATCATCACATCTGAATTTTCTAAGACATTTACTCTTTTCATGCAATACAGCTACGTTTCCGTATGCTATTTTTCAGAGAAAAAAAATACATTAGAAATTTAAGTGCAAGATTGTTTTAGCCCCCAATATGTATTATTTTAATTACAAGTAAACATAATGCGATTTTGATTCCTAAAATTGTGATGTTAATTTTGATGTTTATAAATATGTTATCTTTGATGTAATGCGTATTAATATGATACAGAAGTTTACTTGGCACTTGAAGACGAAATAGATGAATAACTGTGAAAAACGACAGAACGATTTTATTTTCTCGTACCTTTCTTAGATCCGTCATTACTTCAAGCAATGCTTTGTTACCGTTTTCTTATCATATCAAATAAAAATATTTCACATATTATATGGAACAAACCTCGGATACATAAGTATAGCCAAATATAAAACAACACGAATAATTCATATTTTTAGAAGGTTGTGTTTGTCGCGCGTGATGCTGCAGGTTCCGTGCAGCAGTCATTGAAGAGAGCAACATTGAGCAGTGATGGTGCCCCCTCCAAAGAAGTTCCAGGAGCGATGACCAACGCTACGGAGGAAGGAATCGTCAACGCCAGCCTCAGCCAAGGTCATGCGGGAGAGCGCAGAAGTACCTCCGCAAGGGGATCTTCCGGTGAACAGTTCGCGGCTAGGCCACTCGCTCAGGAAAGGCGGCCTCCCAAGCATTCGGTATTCGGTCAAATGCCAGGCAGCCACCGGCTCCGCCCGAATCCCGAGAACCGCCGACGCAGTTGCTTGGTGTGTGCGAGGCGACGAACATTTGGCGCTCCCTCTGCCCACTGTATGTCGGTCGTTTGGACACATCAACAGAAGCGACCATTTACAGAAAAATAAAATACTCCTCAGAATTGGCCGCGAACGGTAGACGATGAGTCGGCGAATGCCGCATGGGTGGGAGCCCCTTAATAGCAGCACTCTCGGAGCGTTTTGAGGCATGGAGGGATGGGCCATGAGGGATGGATGATCAGCCGGCCCAGGGAATGAGGATTGGTCTCCAAATTCTCATTCAGACACTGTTGACTTCTATACAATTATTTGAAGGTGTCGAATAGTCGGGACTCGAATCCCTAAACATCCCGTTCAGAATGGTTTACAGGACAATTGATGTGCACAAGTCATAATTTAGCGGTCAACACCTGTCAATCTTAAGACGTCCTATAAAGTTGTAAAATAAGATAATTGTTCTAACCAACGATTAAACATTAAACACTCTATAACCTAAGGAGAAACTTTAAAAGAGGGAAAAATGAAAAAGAATGACCATCAGTCGAAAAGACACACACAGAAAACAATATATTTAACCTCGAAAATAGCCAAACCTAGTATTGGCGCGAAGACAGCGGACGATGACGTGCAGAAAATATTTGCTACAACTTCTACACATCTTAGTATCTTAAGTTTGTCAGCTGGGCAACTCAAGCGACAAAGCCCTAATGCGACTTCTGTGTCACACAGGTTGGGTTAATTTCGATTCTAGTAACGATCTGTATGCCTAACGTCGTGTATGACTTTTCGCCATAACATAATAATATTTATTCTACACGCGCGTTACTAACAGTGTCAAAGCAACGCTCGTGTGCATGGGCTCCTTAGATTTTATTTCCGATTTGCAGCTTTGCATTAAAAACACAGGGTGTCTGTAAGCAACATACGCTATTTACAATCGAACCTCGTACAAATACATGCCAACAATGATTTTACTCGGAAAGTGCATTTAAAATTAAAACTAAACACTAGAATTTTCATTTAGTTCGAAAGTGTTAGGAGAAAGTGTATTTCCAAAACTCCAAAATCCTGTATACTGACAGAGTATTGAATATATGCGTACCAATAGAGAACTTTAAAGGATTACTTCTGACAACTCTTGTACAAATGCCATTGAAACCCCAGAAGAATATTATAGTTTAAACTAGTTTTCATTTAGATTTTTATTAATTTTCATTTAAAAAATTCCATTAATCATTAGATTTTTAAATTACCATTTTATACATTGATTATTCCAGAAAAGTTACAGAAAATTTAAGATTGAAATCATAATTGAAGTCATCAAAACATAATTTGAATTTATGTAAAAATTAAAAAATAATGGACAGAGCATATTGAAAAAAAAAGGCAATACAAAAATATTGGGATTTTGCTTGAGTGTGTCAGAGAATGTGATTTGTGAACCGTGGAATATTCTAAAGATAATACTTTAAAGCATGTTTTGATGATTTCGTATTAAAGTTCTTTGTAAATCTCTCATTTATAAGCAATGTTCGAAAGCACATCGCACGACCTGCTATAAAAAGTGACACATCAAAGGCCTCGAAAAAGGTTTTTTCCATGATCTTCAAAAACGTTTGTGGCTAATAATGAAACATTACAGAACAAAAACTGAACTAATGAGAACACATATTAAACAGGATAAATATGTTTAATTAGTTCTTAGCATTAACTCCCAGTTTTAGTTGTCAACAGTGTGTTGATCTTATTATCAGCCGCCCGTCCTACGGTGACCACACAGAACGCCCATATTGTTAACTGTAGAAAACACACTTTGGTCTACTGGCAAGAATCGTTCTGCTAACTGTGTCATAATCCTGGCTCTTGGCTCGACCGCTGTACGGGCCATGCGCCACCAGCAGTGACCCCAACCTCTCATCGGTCAGTGGAATACAAGGTTCATGTGGTTAGCAGAAGCCATCCCGTTCCACGTTATAACTGGTCTTATTTAAACCTCTAGGGTGATCTTTCTCATCGTCAACACAGCAATGAGATACTGGATATTTATAAGGAAATGCAGCAGTTATTAATTTGCTCAGCCGGATCACCGAACCAGGCTTGCCTGCTTAAACGACTGGTAAAAGAGCACCGAGAGTAAACTTGTCATAGTAACAACAAAAAAATGAAGATTTTTTGAGTGATGTCCCTATTGTAGAGTAAATGCACATGTTCATGACGCAACTTTACGTTTTCCATTTTCGTTGTTCGATGAGCCTCACTTTTCGCCCTACGTGCGCTTTTGACGAGCGCAGGACCTGATCGACAACACCGCACACGAATTCAACCTTTGTCCTGGACCTGCGCAGCGGCCGCCTACATCAGCAACCATCCGCGCGGTGCTGCACAGGCTACGATCACGGCGGCGTCTGGCTCTATTAGCCCCCCTGCGCCCCGCCGGCACCGGCAAGCAGCTCTGACAAGCGGAAAATGTGTTCCTTTTATCTTTAATTTTTATATCACTTTTCTTCTCTCGCTTTTATTCACCACACTAACGTATGTGCGTGGAAGAAATAAAGTTGTTCTCTTAACCTAATAGATAGATCTTTTTTTTAGAATTGATCTTGTGGAGTCTGTTCATATTCATAGCAATGCGTTCAATTTGCAATAGCATTAACTTCGTTCCCATGCATCTTTCGATGCGAACAATGAAAGTTGGTCGATTGAAGTGTAGCCGTTCGTAGTCGTTCGTGAATCCAATTGTACTAGATCAAAGTCAAGTAATGAACGAATGTTATTAGCAATAGCGTTAGTATAATCTGGAGTTAGGCAGAAGAAAATACAAAAACCGAGAAAGATATTCCTACCCATATTTCTCAAAGATTAAGACCACAGTTTCGGAGACTACGCGTAAGTATTATTCCTAACACAAAGGAGTTACCTTTGGGATTTGCCTCTCGTACTTTTACTGTTAGCATCTGCTTGATCTATCGATGAAAACAGGTCAATATCAATCCTTATATGTTTCGATATACTGGGTCACCTTGCAATGTGCAAAGAGTGGTAATTACTTCCGGTGAAATGAAGATTAAGATACAACATTTAATAGATATAATACCATAGGTCACACGTAAACAGAGCAATAAAGCGAAAAACTACGTGCCAGTAACAGTATATACAAAAATATTCTAGCGACATTTAAGTATCACTATCGTCCTCAATAAATATTCCACTTACCTTCAGGTCAAGACGAAAACATTTTAATACGCAATCATGATGCCACTAAAACTATATTTCTTCAAGATGCGATGATCTAACGCCAATTTCGTAACCCATTATCTGAAGACAAGAATACGATTACCAAATAGAGTTACAGAAAGTTTGGGTATTTATTTTTCCTAAAAAGCAAAAGAGTTATGCCAAAGAACATTGTATTTTTAATAAAAATTGACATTCAAAAAGAGATTTATCTGATAAAGGAGGATGCCAAACAAGCATGTAAAACCAATGAAAAAAATTACCATTTTAAAGGAATTAATTGAAAGAAAATATCGTAGAGGGTTTCAAGGTCCGGCATGTATTCGCGGCAAAGCAATTATGAATGTTGAAATCTTATATATTGAACGCATTAGTGGACATATACAATAGTGTTTATTTATTATTTTCATACTTAAACTCTCATTACACATAAACAAATAATAAAACTGCAAAACGGCGGGATCTGGGTGATTTTCAAAACTTTCGTTTATATCTGTCCCAAACTATTGAAAGACTTCAAAATAAGATTCTCTAAGGAATCAGTGATCATTTACAATAATTTTCTTCTTTCTGGACACTACAGGGGAATCCACGTAATCACCAATCATAGTTGATTCCAACATTGAAAAAACACAAAACGCTAACGGCAACTCCGATCAGATTTATTCTCACAAAGGAGCTAATGCAACTTGTTACTTGAAAATTACAGAAGGAATATCAATGAAAGAATATACTTCTACATTTAGCGCGGTATTGTTCACTCTAAGAAATAATAAAATTTGGTTTCTCCGTATTTCAAACAATAAATCCTGTTTTCTTTTTTATTTAATGAAGGAACACCAGAAAACAATTCAAATAAATGATCAAGAATTAAATGTAGAGTCTCTAATTATCAATCTATTAGAGTTTATAATCTAATGCATGACCTCATTTCACTAAATCCTTATGCGAAGCAACTGAAAAGCTTATTCAAATTACAACAAAAGATAAACTACAAAAAAAAACAAAAATGTCAGGAATAAATGAACGCCGGTTTTCATACACAAGCTTACTGGATTGATATAACCAAAAAAGTATTCCTAATAGTTATTTAAATCTCTGTGTTGAAGAAAACTTCCGTGTATTCTTGCTGTTAATACTAGATACTAGAAACAAATAGATACGATTTTTTATCCACATAAAATGATTTGGTCCCTTTGCGAGCATAGATTAATTATGCAGCCGTAAATAAAGAGCACCACTACTTCTACCAAGTGTATCAAGAATCTGAAGACAACTAAAACGCATCTAAGTGACGAATAGTATCTTACAACAAAATAAACAGTACATCAAGTACATTCAAACATAGAGACGTGACAGCGGTGTTTGGTCAATACGCCACAGACTGGCATAGCATCTAGTTAACGACGGATTATGGAGATTGTAAGCCCTAGCGGCGAGAATGGGAACTGTTCTTAATACTTTTTAAATGGACGCGATTTACTTATTGAACAGCGTGCAATCAGTCTTGGCGTCTTCCTGAATTATGCTGGTGTTCGACACCATTGAAATTCAATCAAAGACCAGCTTGAAGGAGAGTTAACACGTTGGAATTTTTGTTTGGACGTGTTGAAGTATGAAGGATTGAAAGTGCGTTTTGTGCGGGTGCACAGTAATTGAAGGCGAAAACATCGTTGTGACAAGAACATCCGAACAACCTTGAGCCACACAAGTCGGTACTGAAGAAAAGAGTCGAAGTTAAAGTGTGGAGAGCAATTGTTTTTGGAGATCCCAGCCGAATGGACTGTTCACAGATTGCCCCGCAGATTAATTAGGCATTTTTCGGTGGGTTCTGTGCGTACAAATCCTGCATGACTGGACCAGAAAATACGCATGAAGTGTCATCCAGGTGGGCTGCCTCACGATGTACGCTACGGACGACGCACATAGCGTCGAGCTATGGCATGTTGCCAACCAACTGTTGACAGCGCAACCGACAGCTATATGACATGGACTTTCTTTTCCTGTGTCAAATAGTAGTGACAGTGGATGCAGACTTGTGTGCCTATCAATCCAGAAGACAAAGCGCCAGACTCCTCAATGGAAGCAATCAGTCCAACCGCCGCAACAAATTTCGGGTACACCGCCAGTGCCTGCTGAAAAAATGATCGGTGGCCTGTTCTGGAGACAGCAATGGCGTAATCCTTACGCACTTGAGCGTAATCAACGGGCACTACGATAACAGGTATCTCCTTCAAAGAAGTTTGAAAGAACAGAGTTCCTTTCATGAATGCCACCAAAACTGTTCCCGGAAAGGGCTGCGCGTGTGTGTGTTCATCAAGACAACGCACCCCGCACATTGAGCTAAACGTTACGCGACAGTTTCTTCGTGAAAACGACTTTCAAGTGATTCCTTAAGCTCCCTCACCCTGGGCTAGCTCCAAGTTGACTATTGACGTTTTTTCAACAATGGAAAGGAACATTCAGTTTGCCGGCACTATTCACCAGCGTGCTGCTTTCAGCGATTTTCAATGGATCCAAAAACAGACTCCTAAAGAAGCTCTTCCGCCCTTGCCCATTGGAATCATGATAGCGTCCGACGTTGTGAAAAAATGTGTTTACGCTCCCTGCTAGAGCCTATTACCCGTCCGAGAAGCTTAACGCCAAGTTTCATACGTTTTTGTGTGCAGTATGGATTAAGTTCAGCTTTAGAAAAAAATATCGGGCCTTATAGACTTCGCATGCACGCCTAGTATGTATGATCTATTCCTTCAATGAAACATAAATGGTTTTTGATACTAGGTAAGAAAGACTCCAAATACTCTTAACAGAAATTATCTGATCGAATCTTATTATATACCTTCAACAGACTATTTAAAAAATGCCAGCTATGAAATATTAATGGATTCATGTGTTTTTTAAAAATCGAATAAATTCGAAACTACTCATGAGATGTTTGCAATTACTATTAAAGATCATCTCTGGCGGATGAAGTTACAATTCAACTACGAATTTATTCGAACGCCGTATTGTTTAAATCTACTGCTCCATTTATCACTTTATATATGTAATGTGATTACTTCTTAATTGCTACTCAATTAAATATTAAAAGTAATTTAAAACATTTCTGAGATTGCTCTGTATCCAACCCAGCTTGGTGATACTTGGAACACGGGGATGTGCGTTTTCAATAACTACACCATATTAAATTTAAAAACAAAGAATATTTAAATATCCTAAAGTAATAGGACGTATGGGTATGATAGATGAAAATTTTTACATAATATTTGAAAAATAGTGAACCATTCTGTTTAATTTCATGATGGTTGAACTGACACAAACTAGAATAAATCAGTGTTAGACTGCGTTATAAGCCGATGCTGATACACTCTTTCTCTCAGCTTATCTCTCAATTATTGTCCTCACCGATTTCATCGGGATAAGAGCCTTGGTCATCATACCCATTATAGTGGTCTGGAGTTAGAACACACCCGCTGGTGGCTTCTTTACCGACGATGAAGGCGCGGTCGCTGACTGGTACAGCTGCCATCCATGCCCACACGGTCGCGCTCCAGCGTCGACGCGCTATCGTCTCCACTTGCTCAGGCCGGACCCAGGGATGGAAGCCCCGACGGCAAGGCAGCGCGCTTCGGCGACGGTGATGATTAATGAATTTCACTAATTTCCCGGAATCAAGCAATCCGCGAACGACCCACGACGTAGTGCAGGCTAAGCGGCCTATGGCACGTACTGAGTGGCAACTGACGCACGCGGTGAGTGGCATTGACGTGAGAGTGCAGCTCACGGCCAAGCGAAAGTAATTCAAATTGTGCCAACATTATGCCTCTCTTCAACGAAATTCTCGAAAATGATATTTTGAGTGCTGGAACTTCCTTCGTGGAACTCGAAAGTTTAGTGGTTTTGGAGCTTCTACTATTAGTCAATCATGAGAGTTTCTGGTACGCCCTAATTCTTCAGCTGGCTCCTTCCTGATTGACTAGAAATTCAAATTTTAGCGGAGGCGTGGCGGGGGCGGAGCTTTGACGCATATGATCGACGATCATGCAACCGGGACAAATTTTTTCCGGTTTGTTTAGCGGGCTGGGCGGGCGTAGTCCTTCCGCGGTGGCGCAAATGTCGTTGAGATCTAGATCGTCGGGTTGCACCTGTTGAGCCCAAATTCGTTAGGTCGTAAACCTTTTCAGTCGGCGTGATTGCAGGCGGCCTTTCTTGACGTTGCGGT